CATTGCAGCATCTGGCTGCAACTGTACCACACCAGCTTCATGGGGTCAGCAAGGAAAAGTTTATTCAATACTTACTGTATGAGAGTCAAGTGGATGTACTGAACTCGCAGTTGCAGAAGAGCGATTTTACAGTTTACAGCCCACTGTGCTATTGCTCACACCGTGACTTGCTGCATCACCTCCCAGCCGACCAGGGGACCAACGCCATCACAAGCACAGAGCAAGGGGACGCTCCAATGCTGTCCCACTACTGCTACCACCCTCTCGCAGTGTTTTCGCAGTAACGATGCTGCCTCCGCGTTGCACGTCCAAGGAACGGGGCACCTTTCCCCAGAGCAGCCCTTCTGTGCCTTTCCTCTCCAGCGTGGCGCTTCCTCCTTGCAGCTGCCCCAAGTCCAGCACGGAGCTCCAGCTGTTAAGACTGGCAGAACGTAATTGTCCATAGGCTTCACTGTATCACGGCTGGGTTTGGTGTGTGTTACTTGATCAGATCTGCAGTCCTCCTCTGTGAGGGCTAAATAGTGGGTTGTCTGGGTAAGAGTTAGTTTCTCTCAGGCCCAGTGTATTAGCAGCAGTTCCTGGAGTGAGTGGAGGCACAGGGTCTACCCTCCAGCTCATCACCCAATGCCCAAGTCTGGACCTGTAGTCCTGCAGTGCAAATCTGTACATTCTGCTCCCAAATTTTGCATTTTAAACCCGGCTCAATCACGTGAGGCTTTTGGAGACAACTTTTCCCTCTCAGAGGTAAAGGATCTCATCTAGTCATCACATCTGAGAGTACTGAATTCTTCCAGTCTTGCCCTTTTTGCCACTGGCTTCCACACAGCAGATGTCACTGGGGATGAACTTGGAAGTGCCAGCTTTACAAAGGCTTGGGAAAATTATATTTATTGCACAAATACAAGAAGTATAGAGCTGGAAATGACTTCCTGGGTTACAAACTCGTTTCCAGCTATGACTTGCAACCACATTGTATAATTTTTCTAATAAATTAGCCAAGACCTCCTTTAAAAAATATTTCTGAGACTTCTCCCTGTTACACGTTAAAAGACTGCTGCAGAGGCACACCACGCTAAAAGAGCGATCCCTGACTCCCAGGGATTTCTTCCCATGCTTACAAGGAAAATATCGCCTCTGCACATTCTTTGCCTTTTAGAAATTAACCTTTGAATTAATGTTTTAGATACACAGGTGATCAGCTCTGCAAGAAGTATTCCAAACTTCCAACAGTAGTATTTATACTTTACTGTTTCCTAGTAGAAATACATCACTGGATACAGTCTAGGGCATGTGCCGTATCTACAGGTGCATCACCTTGCAGATAGCCATCCTGCAAACAACTGACAGGCACAGCCGCTTCCCTTGGTGCTCCCAGCTGATGAACTAGTGCACAGTAGAAGTTCTGGCTACTGCCCAAGTACCGGCACTTTGACTGAGTCCGGGTACCTCCAGCCTTCAAAGGAATCCCATCTTCCTGGATGCTTTTCCAAACGTTGCCTGTACTGAAGAAGCCTCTCAACTTAGTGCCATGAAAATCGTGATCAGAACAATTTTACTTTTATACCCAAGTCATTAAAACATAAAGAATATCAGTAATCCCTAGATTGATCATAGGGAAAGTCCACTGATAGTTTTCCTGCATCTCACTTCTGCTGGGAGTACCATTCATTTTCTCTTTAGCTAGTTTTTTATCTTAAATGTGTACTAAACCCATCTTGCGCAGCAGGACAGCTGATTTCCTGTGTGGGACTGCCTATTTGCAGGTCCATGAAAAGTAACCAAACGGCTGCGGTTTCGTTCATTTTTGGGTTTACTCACCTATGACAATGGATCTTACAAACGGCACTACCGTTTTAACCTAGAAAGACCCATCTTCAAAGTGCAGGGAATTTTTCTAAAATTAGGCCCTAATTTTCTGTGGCCCACACGTTGTGTAACTATTTACACAAGCGCAAGCAAATGCAAAGTCAGTATCAAGAACTTGCGCAGAACGAATATAAGTTATGCTCCTCGTGCAGGTTTGTCTACACCAGCTGCAGTCCGCTACAGTATAAAGCTTTCTGCAACTGCCTGCGTGCTCTCCCCGCTAAGGAATGGTCTCTCGCTCTCTCCAGCTTCAGTCGCACATTCCTGATCCCTCCCTCGTCCTCCTCCCTTTCCCATCAAAGGGGATTCTCTATGTTCTGAGCTGGGTGTGTTCGCAAATGACTAGAACAGAAATATGTTGGTGCTTGTCTTGTGTTCTCTGCCTTTCATGTTCCAAATGCTCCCCATTTATAAGACAGGCCAGACGGGCTGATCAAACACTTCTCTCACTAGAACAGAGGCCTTTGCTGCAAAAACAGATCTCCCTGCATCTTAAAATGCAACACCCTGGAACACCTGGCAAATCAGTCAAGCTGAAAATGCTGTGCAAGCATGCAAACATCAGATGCTGGGTGAAAATCTCTGTAGTTAGACCTCATATTACAACCTCTCATCAGAGCAACAATGACCAAGCGTACTGCAAGGGGAACACAGAAGTCTAATTATTGTAAAATGTCGATACCACCCTCAGCCCTCTCCCAGGCACAAGTGATCATAAGGATAACTCATCCAAATGAGCAGCATATACAACTTTACAAAGACATATGTATGGTTCTCTGGTCAGCCCATATAAATAGCGTTTTACATATTAAAATAAATATGTCCACGTTGCCAAAGTAGCAAGAGGTTTCTTCGTTATTTAAAAAAAATATGTTACAAAACAATATCATTTATATTTCTTGCTTAGTTTAAAAAAAGTAATAAAAAAGTCACTTTATAAAATAATATGAAAGTAAATTGAGTACAAGAGTGTCCATCCCTAGCACGTGTCCTGGGTTTGTATGTTATGACTCATCATGAGATGCTGACCTCCAAGAAGTCATGTAATCATTCCTTCACTTCTAGTTGGACAAAAGAAATCCAGTGCTTGCTTTTTTCACCGCTTATATCAAGTCTATGATGTAAAATTCATGGCAAGGGAAGAAGTCCTAGATCTGGGGAAGGTTCTCATTGCTGCTATTTATGGCTTTGCTACTCCCTGTGTCAGGTTGCCTTGTTGTAACACAGGAAGAGGATGTGAATGGCCAAAACTGAGCCCTGGAGGTTGGAGGTAACGTGTTCCAGTCAAATAGTGTAAGCAAGAAATTGCCTTTTTTTTTTTTTTCTCTTGACAGACACATCCTAAGTGTGCAAGAGTGTAGGAGCACGTGGGTGTGTACAGGTTTGAGCATGCATGGGTGTGAGCGTGCATCTGCCTGCATGAGCGTAAGGAAGATTAGAAAGCGCGGGAGAAGGGCTTAGAGTCTCCTCCTGATCTAATCTCTCTGCCCCTCTGAAGACCCCTGCCTAGTTACCACTGCTGAGCATTCCCAGAAGTTTACTGGGCTCCAGGCCCTGTTGCTGTGCCATCTTCTGAACATCAAAACCCATGTGCATGAGGAATTGGATCACATTCATCTCCTGCCCTGTGAACTGGTCCCTGATAGTGGGGCACGAGGGGTTGCAGTGAGGCCATGGACAGCTGTCAATCAGATGGATCGGGCAGCCTTTCAGAGGGGCCTTCCCATTTTTGTTGCTCTCATGTAGGCTCCGATCCCAACAGTGCAGGGCACGAGGTAATGACGTCCCCTTCACCTGGATGTCTGTCCAGTGACTGAAAAGACAAACCATACAGATTGTATCAGAGGGGTCAGGCTGTCAGAACCCGTTAATTCCCCTACCGTTTCCCTGTTGACCTTTCATAGAATCTGCAAAAGCACTCACTTGCGTGTAATGATCTCATGAGACAAACAGGCAGGAGCAAAGCTAGCGCTAAAGGAAAAAAGGAAACATGGATTAGGTCTTGGAAGGACAAAGTAACTCCTGCTAAACAGAACTTTCAGGACTAGGTAGAGGGTGGAATTTTTACTGCTCCTGGCAAGATTTTTAGAAACAGCAATGACTAGCACGATATAAAACCTGACTGGACTGGAAATTATCCAAAAAAAAAAAAAGGGGTTCCATCCTGCCTAACAGTGCACATTTGCAACAAGAGACTCCTGAATACCTGCTCTTGCACGAAGCAAGTAAGGCACATTAATGGTTCCTCCTCTGCTGTCTCATCAACTCTCTGGATGTTTTACGATCAGTACTTTTCAAAACATCCCTGTGAGGTTGATGATAGCTGTGCAATGGCAAGGAGTCTCAGGCCTCACCTTGGAGGTAGGAAAGAAAAAAACCACGGTCCTATCAATAACAAAGGGTAGCTGAGAATTGTGAAGCTGGAAATTACTTTGCACTTATCCAATAATGAAAAAGGCAAGATTCTTGATGTAGACTAATAGTTACCAAATTTACAACATCCGTTTTTCCACAGATCTGAGAAACGCTGCTAGGATACTGGATAGGAATGTCTCTTAGAAATGAATGTGCCACATTTTCCTCCATGAAATACTTACGTCACATCCTTCAAGGTGTTTCTCAGCTCCCTACCCAGATTCTGGATGTAGAGCCACTGCCCTTCCTGAACAGGCTGGCCGGTGAGGTGTACATTGTCTACAGTGAGCTGGGCCTCATCAAAGAGCCATTGGACAACAAAGACTGGACCTGGGAAGATGAAAAATTTGGAAAAGGAATTGCTCTAAGTTAGCTACAGATACAGAGGAAATCCTAAAATACATCTTGTATCTCTGCTCTGATACTTACATCGAAGAGTGGGGTAAATCTTGTATCCAAAAAAGCAATTCCATTCCTCTCCTTCTTTAAACTGCAGCTTACAGCGTTCAGGAACAATACCATTCCAATACCTAGAAGACAAAGCAGTAACAGAATGAAAGTCATAGCGCAATTTTAGCAAACGGCCTTTCCATAGCCCGGTCTATTTCTGATCCAGTTATAGTTCCAACTTACTGACAGCAGAGTTCTTCCTTGGCTACGTTGGCCCATAAACACATTTTAGATCATCTACAATTGCACACATTCTTTTGCATGTCTAGATTTTAAATTATTGTCTTTTCCACTAAAATTATTGAAAAAACACTGATGTAGATGATAAATACTCTTGAAGTATCAAATGAAGGAAGATAGAGGAGGGCATCTTCTCCACACTCTAACCTCTTGCAGAAGTGTACTTTAGAGCATCTGATTGTACCTTATTCCTCTTCTGATGGCTTCTGTGGGAGCACACGTTATGGTATCAATACAGTCAGTTCTGCGATACTGTTTATTATCCAGGAACCATCCAGAGTCTGCCAAGCCTCGAACTTGAATCCCTTGATAACCCATCTCCTCCAGCTGCTCTGCCACTCGATCCACATTCAGGAGCACTCCTGTCCCTCCAGCACTGCAACAGCAATGTTAACACCGCAGTCATGAAGCACACACAGATACTAAGTGGCTGGCCAGCATAGGTATCCTCCCACAGCAGTGATGCTCCATAAACACCTTTATCTATCCACAGGACAATCCACTACTAACTTGGTAGTCACCAAGTTGTTTCCTTGCTTTGCAAAACACTCAGAAATAAAGCCAGTGCTGAGTAACAATCTGACACCTCAGAAAGCAAATCCTGTTCTTGTTCTTTCTTCTGGGAGATATATGCACTTTGTATCATTTCTAAGGGGTTTGGCTGCTCAAAAATCAAAAGAATCTGAATGAGACAAATTCACCCTCTGCAACTTCCTTATTACACCCCTGTGCAACATATGCTGAGTGTACCACAGCTTTCTGCAACATAGCACGGTTCAGAGCACCTGCGTCAGGCAACTCTGATTTTTTAATCCCAAATCTATTCACAAGAGGCATGTCTCTCACGGCATGGGCCAGCAGAGGCCAGCATTCTTGATGCAGGGAAGAACGAACGCATTCCCTTCCTCTTGCAAACCTTTTGTCATTTTCTCCATTTTCTCCTAAGTGTACCTGGACCAAAAGCCAAATAAATAGTATCATATCATCCCCTGTGGTACCACTCAAAGGAGAAAACTGAGAAGAGATAGTTTGCTGTGTTTGTGTTACTTTACTCCCAGAAGAAATTTTTCAGGAGCTGCTGAGACCCCTTCCCTAACAGCTTTCTACTGTGGAAATCTGCTGTCTTCACCACAGGAAATCTTGTAGATACCTACCTGCTCCCTGCTAGCAGCAACACTTTTGCCGTGCTAAGACCTTTCCCCACCAGCTCCTTTATAACCTCCTGAATGATCAGTGCTCCCATGAAGGCATATTCATCTGGAAGAGATAGCTCAGCGTCAACAAAACTGTTTCCTGTCCAGGCTAAGACTTTTGCTTCCTCTCCACAAATGCTTAAGAACCTTACGAAGGGATTATGAACCTAAAACCAGACCCATTTTCTCCACCTGTATCGAGTACATCTAACAAGAGATACTCCCCCCACCCCCATACAAAACTTGCTTCCCTTAAAGAAAGTGAACAGGGAGCGAACAGAACACACAATAACACAAGCATGCCTTCCTACAACAGTGCTTAGGAATTGGTGAACTTGGAGAAGGAAAACAAGAAGGCAGGCACTGGGACCCTTTCTCTATACATGAGGAATATGCACACCTTCCTACCACCTGGAATCTCAGCTCCAACTTACTGCATCCCTTTTTTCCCAATTCATAAAGCCAATTCAGCCAAGCAATGTTTCACAAAACATTACACCTACATAGACCGCTACTTCCTTGGCACCACCAAAAGGCAGCTGCGTTTGCTGAAGTGTAACTGCTTCACAGGAACAACCCTAAGCAGCTACGAAGACATGAAAAGATCCCTTACTGTGACAAAAAGCGTATCTGCAGTATGCATGAGTGGTCAGTTTCTCAACACAAGCTCGTGAAGAGAGACGTGGAGTGACACAGTGTCTGGTTTAAGGCCAGAATTCACAGACCAACTCAGAGAAAAGCGTTAACCTTCTGCCTTTTCAGTGCCACACCACAGAGCACCTTAGGCCAAATTCTTCTGTTCACAGCAGCATATATCAACAGTAATTCCGTTCTGCTCAAAACCCTTCATGAACAAATGAGAGAACTAAGCCCCTGGTGTTTCTATAGACATTACTGCACCTGTTTCTATAGACTTACTGCTTACATTGGGAAACCCAGAGAAGTACAGGAGGTGTAACAATTCATCTGCATGAAATCCAGCTTAATCTGGAAGAGGACTCCATTAAGCAGACTCCCAGAGTTCTGTCATCATCAAAATGACAGCCAATGGCAATGCATGTGTCAAGATGAACTATTCTTCGTTTCCCAAAGAAACCTGCAGACACCTTTAGCCTGACATGACAGCTCCTTTCATAGGCCAAATAACCTCTTGATAGAGGCCTGGAACTAAACTCACTGCACTTGCCTCTCAGACCAGCAAACCCAAAGTCACATGCAACAAACCACGGTTCCTCAGCTACACCATTTAATTTGCTGCGTGCTGGAACCTGGAGATTCATCTAAAAGGAATTTCGGTCCTCTAACGCTCGCATACTGCATTCAGTGTAACATTTCCGCAACCAGTGGCTCTGAACTATGTCAAAACAGCCTGAGCTAAAGAGATCAGGATGTTTTATCTGGAAGTAGCTTGATATTCTTTCCTGCCCTTCAGCAAGAAAAAGCCTGTTCTTCATTCACGTCATTTCATAGAAGTCTGGCCATATCCTTTAATGTGTGATGTCTGGGGCAGCAACAGCCCATCAGCAACACTCACTTTTCTCAGACTTGGAAGAGGCACCACTCCAAACATCACTTGAGCAATAAGGGATGAATCTGTAAAAGAGAGTTGTGTGAGTACTGATGTTCCTTTGACATGCAAGGAGGGGTGAGGATAGGGTCAAGTAACTGGAAGAAAATTAAACCCTGGGGAGGGGAAAAGGGAAGAGTTTCTTGTTCAGTTAGACAACGTACCTTCTTGCACACCAAGTGACAATTATAACTGTCTTGAATTTTCTCCTGAACACTGGTAGTTTTACTACGATAAATCGATAAATAATCTGTCTTTTATCAACCTAATTGAAGCACTGAGCTCAGTGGACAGAATGATGGGCCAAGATTTTACTCTTAGCTGTCCCACCGATATGGTGGGTGGCCTACCACAGGGAAACTCTCTCTATGCTTCAGTTTTTGACATGAAAAATGAGAAGAGCTTGTCCATGCAGTGGAAACGCTGACTGCAACCACTGGAGGTTTTTGCAGGAATGAAGTTATCTTCCCATTTTTGTCTCCGGCTTGCAGAATGCAAATTAACATCCCTCTCTTCTGCTTTTCCCTTCTATATAGATGCATATATAAACTGGTATCTTTCTCATTTCTCTTCTTTGAACTAGAAGAGCTGCTGCTCATCCCTCTCAAATTAGCAAATGTGCAACATACTATCAGCTCAGCACTCGCAACAGTATTTGCCACTTGTTTGAGAAGGCTCCCTAAGCTATCCCCAGTTTTTCTTCATTAGACCACCCCACACCTCCGAGGAGACTGGACTTAAGTTTCTCCAGACCTTGCCAGCGCTACTTGTTAAGAGACATGAACTAGAACAAATGAGGAAACATGCAAGTTCCTCCCGCAAGTGTTAATCTGTCTTTGTAGCATTCTTGCTAGCCTAAAAGGCAGGAGATGTTGTTTAAGTATAAACCTATTTCCCTTCGTTGTCCCTCCTTACACCATGTTTGCATTCCACCAGTGCGGATTTTCTTCTGGTTGTGATGACAGGATCCCAGTTCCTGCAGATGGGCACAAAGAAACAAGAAATGTACAGATGACAGCCTATGACTTCAGAGAAACTGTATGAGCCTCACGCAGGATCTCTGACCATGGGGAAAACAAACATCTATGATGAAAAACATTGGTAAGGGAAGTGGAAGGAACATTTCTAAATTTGCCCTTAGGCAGATGTGACTTTCAGAATTTGATTCATGCTAGAGATGCAGCCTGTCTAGAACCTCTGACACAAAATTAAGCACTTTCTCAGAAACCAAATCCTAGCAAGTGAATTTCAATATATGCAATTATAGGATTTGTGTGAATGACAGAGGTTTAGGTACTCAGAAAGCCAGAGCATAAGCAGTGAGAATGAAGAGAGAAGCTCAACATTTCTGTGCTGACTCAGGAGCCCGGTGGTCCAGAGCATGGGTATCCGGGGTGCTAATTCCATCTGATGCATGACACTGAAAGATGCCACAAATACTTTACATACGCACCAAATGTATGCTTTCACACACAGAACCGCTGTAGGTGGTTAAGTGACGTTACGCAGTTGTAAACGGGGGAAATAGTGGAACCACGCAGCTCCAGGTAAAAGCCCAGAGGGTTCATCTGATTTCTCCCTATGCACATAGGGCCAGTCCTACTACAGGCAAACACACACACCCAGCGCAGCGTGCAAGGAAGCGCATCTGCCCTGACAAACAAATTAAGAGGCCCAAGAACAGTTCTTCTGATAGGACTAAGAGAAACACGGTCTCTTTAAAACCCAAAAACCTAAATCGTGACTCTGTGAAGATGCCAGCAGGTTTGTGACTACATGCATGCATTTAAAACAAAGACAGCGCATTGGCCAGAGCATGAAAACGCAGCGCGGTCCGCCAGTGATAGGCACACATCCAAATGCGGGTGCACATCTGGGCTTTTATAACTTTTTCGGAGAGTAGAGAAGCACACTTGTTTGGGCGTCCTCTCCCAGGAGCGAGAGCGCCCGTCTGCGCCCGTGAGGCTGCGCTAGCGCCGGGACGGGAGCAGTCACGACAGTGACCGCATGCCTGCGAGGACGCTGACGCCGTGGGCGGCCGCCCCGGCCT